GACCAAAAAGTTAAGATCATCATAACACATGAAATAGGTGACAAAGTTTTAATGTATAATGCAATAAAAGATAAAAAATTATTCTGGTAAACTAGAACCAAACTGGAAAGGACCTTATTATATTTATATAGTACCACATCCTGGTGTGTACAAATTGAGAACCTTAGATGGAAAAATTCTAAAAGCACCAATTAATAGCTCCCTATTAAAAAGATATAATGATAGAAACTTTTGGATACCACAAATTACAATTGAGTAACATAATACCATCTAAACAAGTTAACGGCGTAACCTTATTTTCTATAAAACTACCAGCCCCTCAGAGTATTTTCCTTTTTCCAAGTATTATTTAATTAATTTGAACATATAGAAAATGTCACAATACTACGCAGATTTAATTAGAATTGGAAGTTACACCATGAGGCAAATTGATAAATCTTATAATTTAAACCATATCTGGGAAGTTTCTGCCCAGCATGTATATCAACAATTATAAAATACTATGAATTCTCGTAATAGAATCATGACTTTGGTATACTGTTACTATTTGGAAGAACTGGTGCAATTTTCAGTAACTTCTAAAGCAAAATGGAAAGAATTTGTTCAAGATAATCAAATTTCAAATCATTACTATTTGTATCGAAAAGTCATCAGAATTTATCAACTTTTTGAAAAGAACCCAAATCAAATGTATTGTACCATAACCTTGACTTACAACACTATTTCCAGAATAAAAGTTTCTATATTTAATGAATTATTAAGATATAACAATGATCTTAATGACCTTGTTGACAATCTTGAGTTATCATAAGATAGAACTTTATGATTAAATTGGGGAAAATTGTTACCTCTGTTTATTTTTATATTTATTAATTTATATATTTATATACTTTATTATCATATTCATATCTGTATTATTTTAAAACAACAAAGAAACATTGATTCAAGTTAAAAATTGAATTCACAATGCGCAGCAACGAAATCATAAAGTAATAGTAATGGGTGACTTCAACGCTATACCATCGTCAAGTATAGATAGAAATAACAATAACCAATTCAACATTCCAGAGAGTGAAATTTTTTCAATATTAACAGGAAAAGACTTAATTAACAGTTATAGAATCATATACCTTGATTCCAGCGGTTTTACGTGGAAAAGAGATAATTTACAAGAACAGAGCTGAATTGATGCTATCTGGATCCCACAACAATGGGGAAAAAAATAATAGAATATTTCACGGAGCAACTTGAATTAGTGACAAAAAGTGATCATAAAATAATACAACTTAAAATTAAAAAGACGTGGCAAATACATCTAGATAGAGAAGTACAAGATAATATAGGACCTAAATACAACATAAAATTAATGTGTGACGAAAAATGGATGAAGTTTATAACACATGTAGAAAAGAAATTAAAAATGACCACCATCTCGTCACGAAAAGAAAAATATGGGATAACAGTCAACTCGTTAAACAAGAACTGGAAAACTCTCAAAAATATAATGATAGAAGTTGCGGATTGCGCAATACCAAAGAAAAAAATCAAAAAATTTAACAAAAAAATCAATAAAGAATTCACAGAGAACTATAAACGTGCAAAATCATTTAATAAACTATATCAATTTATGAAAAAAGAAAGAACTAAATCAGTTAAATACATTAAATCACATGACAAGTTTTTGAAAGAAAAGAAAAAACTATCAGTACTTAATATTGAAATTGAAAAAATTTTAATAAATAATAGGAAATATGAGGAATTACTATACAAATTTAAAGAACAAAGTATACGTTTTCAAACAATTGCAAGAGCAGAAAAAAAGAAAGAAAACTTCAAAAAAATTCAAAAAGCCATAGAAGAAAGATGAGAGAATCTTAAAGAAAGTCCTAAAAAAATGATTAATAGTGTACTAGACAAGCCAAGAAAATCCATTATTATGAATTGTTTGATTGTCGAATCAGAGAGTAATAACACAACAAAAATCATTACAGATGAAACAGAAATTAAGACAGTGGTACAAAAACACTTTCAAAACTAAACAAGGAAGAGGAACACCAACGAAACAATGATGAAAGAATGGGAGGAATGGTATAAACCAATACCAACAATTGATTCTAATAACTATAAAAATTTGCTAATAGAAGTAAGTATAGACGAATTAGAAGAAACCATCTACCGTTTACCTAATAAAAAAGCGGCCGGGCAATCAGGTCTACAATATGAATGGTTTAAACATCTCCCTAACGAGGGCATAGAAACATTAAGAGACATCATTAACATAGTTTTCAATTTAAATGACATTCCGGAAGAATGGAAATGGGGGTATATATACCCAATTCTAAAAATGGCCGATTGGGGAAACAATTTAAATATAACAAGACCAATAATCCTATTAGAAGCTGGAAGAAAAATATTCACGAAAATTTTAAATAATAGGCTGGCAGATATCTTCAGTAACAATAAAATTTTATCAGGACACAACTACGTGGGCTTACCAGGTGACGATACACAAAACCCAATTCACATTATAAACAATATTATGGAAGACGCGAAGGTCAAAAATAAAGAATTGTGGCTAATGTTCCAAGACATGAGCATGGTATTTGATTCGGTTAATACCGATTGCTTATCAAAAGCTTTACGAAGAATTAAATTACCAGAAGGATTTATTAACATAATAGAGAAGTTGTTATATAACAGAGAAAATATCATATTAACTACTTACAAAAATACAGAGGCATACAAGGTAGAAGATGGCATTGATCAGGGAGATATAATTTCACCAATCTTATAGAGGATTTTCCATGACCCACTAATGCACAGAATTGCAGAATCAGGTCTAGGATATACAATGAAAGAAAAATGGATCGATGACCTAAGATATGGAACGACTAAATTAATGCAAATGAAGGTAACAGTGGCAGCATACGTAGATGACACAAATTGGTTTGCACCCTCACAAGAAAAAATGAAAAAAATATTTCAAATTGCAAATGAATTTTTCGTCATGAACGATATCACAATAAATAAAAGTAAATCATACTTAATTGCAATTAAT